CATTCATCTTCATCTTCATCATCTACATTATCATCATCATCATCATCATCATCATCATCATCATCATCATCATCATCATCATCATCATCATCATCATCATCATCATCATCATCATCATCATCATCCCCCTCCAAATCTCTCCACCCCTGCCCCAGAAACGGTGAACCTTCATCCAGCACTCTCTCGACGGTCCTAAGGCCGACTGCGTCGTGCGATTCCGGCGATCTTCTCTGCCTCGGCCTCCCGCGAGCCAGTGATGGCTGTCCGAAATTGGCCCGCAACGAACAGCTTCCCCTGGGACAGAGCGGGGGTGGGCCGAGCCCTCCTGGCCCCGCGGATTGGACAAAAGCTTCAGCCCGTCGAAGGCCTGGGTCCGAGCGCCGCGAGACGCAGGACAACCCCCGACGAGAACTCTCTCGCCGAGCCGCCAGGAGGCCAGATGTGGGGGTGGGGGGTAACTCAGACCCCCTCGCGATGCGAACAAATCTCGACGGGAAGCTTTCTTTACGCTGTTTGCGCCCTCCGGGAGCCCTCACGGGGCCACGGGACCATCAAAAAACGGCTCAGGATGAAAAACCGGTTATGGGGACGGACTCCAGAACCCTGAAGCAATTTTGAACGAAAAAGAAGGCAGTCTAAAAAGAATTCAAAAGAGTCAAACATGGTCGCAAAAATCGTCCCCAGATTATTTTTGAACGATTTTGGAAAATTCCGGCGGTGGACAAACCTCCCTTTAGTAAACCTCCCTTTAGTGAAAAGGGCCTGAGACCGAAACCGACGGGCCTGGACCCGCAAAAGTGACGGCCGCGACGCCCTCTCGCGAACCGACAACGGCCAATTCGCTGATCGACGTGTCAGGGTAGGAGGTCTGTCCACCCCCGAATACTCCTCCTGTAGAGGAACAGGCCCGATGGAACGCTGCAAAAAAAAAAAAAAAAAATCACGGCGTCGGAGGTCTGGGCAGGAGAGCCGGCGGCCTGCAAAGGAGGAGCCCCTGCGGGGGGGGCGAAACGGAAACGGCAAGGGGGGGGGGGGGGGGCTTGCCATCGAGGCGGAGGCGCGGCCCTGGAAATCGGCGATGCCCTGCCGACGGACCCGAGATGAAGTCGGGCGTGTCCCCCCCCTGCAGGGGGATGAAGTCGGGCGCAGGAGGGCGCAGGGCACGGAGATTGATCGGAGGTGCAGGAGGGCCCAGGATGAAGTCGGACGTGTCCCCCTACAGGGGGATGAAGTCGGGCGCAGGAGGGCCCAGGGCACGGAGATTCATCGGAGATGCAGGAGGGCCCAGGATCAAGTCGGGCGTGTCTCCCTACAGGGGGATGAAGTCAGACGCAGGAGGGTCCAGGGCACGGAGATTCATCGGAGATGCAGGAGGGCCCAGGATCAAGTCGGGCGTGTCCCCTAACAGGGGGAGCTTCGAGAAAAAATCAAAAGTACCCCAGAAATACTCCCAAATGAAAAACAAAAAAACAAAAAAAAAAAAAAAAAAAAAAAAAAAAAAAAAAAAAAAAAAAAAAAAAAACATCCCCAGACTATGTTTTGACTTTTGTCTGATTATTTGCTGACTAGTTGTTGATAATGTGTGGAATATGTTTGGACTATTTTGGGACTATTTTGGGACACCGGATCGAGAAGACGAAGCGGCGATCGATGTGAATCGGATCGGCGGAGATCGGCAGCCGAGTCGGGAGGAGTGGCATCGGCGGCGCTCGGCAGAGCGGCGGGGCCCCTCCTCGAGACCCCGGCGCTCTCGCCCTCGGAGCCCGAGGCCGACGAGGCCGCGGCGGCATCGGAGAGCACCTCGAGATCGACCTCGCGTCGAAGTGGAGGCATCGACGGCAAGCGGATCGGAATCGGAATCGAATCGCAGCGGAGCCGGAGCCTCGGAGGCGGGGCCTCGACGAGGCGGGCCCGCGCGCGGCGGGGCCCCGGGCCGGGCGCTGCACCCGGGCCCCGCCCGGCGAGGAGGGGGCGCGATGGAGGGGGGTCGACGCCTCCCGCCCCGGGGCCCGGTCCGCCCCCTTGCCGCTGCCCCGGTCCGGGCTCTCGGGCGCAGTCGTTCGAATTCCTCGTGGCCCCGGAGGGGGTCCAGCTGGAAGGAGGGTGGTGCAACAGATGTGGGGGGCAGTCGTATTGCAAAGGCGTTGCGCAGGAGAGAGCACTGTATTGCAGCTGATGTGTGCTGCACGCGAGAGTCCAGAAATACGTCTGCGCACCGGAGTGTACTGCACACCCCAAATCTATTGCAACCCCACACGTCCATGGCACCAGATCTATTGCACCATCCTCTTTTCGCTGGACCTCCTTGTGGGTCAACCAGATAGATGGGACGCCCAGGGAGATACCAGCACGATGCGTCCTCATTGGAGGCGTGCGTGCGGGACCCGAACATCTAATATAACCATTGTGATGCAGATCGTCTTCCAAACAGTATGGCCAGAACGCGGCCGCCATCGCTGATGTACTAGAAGAGTTCTTGGCGGGCGCATCGCCCCTGGGAGGGAGACGCACACATAGTATCAGTGTGTGGGCTCGCCGCCGAATAAGAGAGGGTCAGAAAAGGGGGATCGGCGAAGCAGCTGCGAGCGCCGGACTGGCTTCCCCCCACGCCCAGGGGGCGCTGGGAGGAGCCGCCGCGCATACGGAGAAACGCACCCTGCGATGGAGCCTGGCGGTGGAGCCGCCGCCGGCTGCATGCTGCAGACGTCGCAGCCCCCACGTTCCCAACCCGCCCCCCTCACCCAGACCTCCGACGCCGTGGCCGTCTCTGGGGGAACGAAGAATGACACAAACACAAAAGCTCGGATGTCCGCGCGGGTTTCTCGGATCCGCGCTGGACCCCTCTGGCGGCGCCTCCGCTCTCCACGGAGGGGGGTCCAGCGCCGATCCGAGAAATCCGCGCGGACCTCCAGGTTTGTATGTTATGTCATTACTTGTCCCCCTAGTCTTAGGTCGGGCCTGTCCCCCTACGGGGGAATCTTCGACGAAAAAGTAAGAATACCCCCTAAAATAATCCAAAAATAGTCCAAAAATAGTCTGGGGACTATTTTCTGAATGTTTTTTTGCCTTTTTGGTGCATTTTTGATGTATGTTTTGTTTTTCGTCGAGAATCCCCCTGTAGGGGGACAGGCCCGACTTAACCCTAGTCTCACGACCCCCGGTCCCCCCAGACCCTCGCCCCAGGAGCCTCCCGGATGGGGCCCGAGCAGCTGGGGTCGGAGGATCGCCGCGCATCGCGAGTGCATCGGCGATGCACCGGCGATGCATCGGCGACGTCGGGGACTCATCGGCGACGCCGGCATGGAGAAGATCGGGCTCCGCATCGAGCCGCATCGCCGATGCATCAGAGGTGCGGCGCCATCCTCCGACCCCATCTGCTCCGGCCCCATCTGGGAGGCCTGTAGACGCCCCCTTCCCTGCACGGCGGGCTTCTCATCCGGACGGCCTGGCCACAGGGCCCGGAATTAGGTCGGGTGTGCCCTCCCACTGGCGGATGTTGGGCGAAAAACTAAAAAAACAAAACAAAAAACAAAATAAAAACAAAAAAAAATCCAGACATCTTCCGAAATGTGCAGAAATAGTCCCCAAAAACGTCCCCGGATCATTGCTTCACTCTTTGGGGATACGTACTCCCCCTGTCGGGGGGCATGCAGCAGCGGGCCGGTGCACCCCGAGGAGGAGTGCCCGGAGCACGCGGCGCCCGCCGTGCTCCCCCAGGGCGCCCCGACGACGTCCGACGGGGCCCCCGGCTCTTTCCGCCCCCGCGGGGTCGCGCGGCGGGAGGCGCCGCCGGCACTCGGTGCTCGGGCGGCCCCCTCTCAGAGGCTGCCCGGGCGAGGCCCGAGCAGACGGGGCCGGAGGCGACGAGGAGGAGGAGGAGGAGGAGGAGGAGGAGGAGGAGGACGACGACGATGTTTACGACGACGCATACGATGACGACGCGGACGACGACGACGACGACGAGGAGGAGGAGGAGGAGGAGGAGGAGGACGACGACGACGACGTTTACGCCGACGCCGACGCCGACGACCCCGCCGACGACGACGGTGCATCGGCGGCGCCAGCATGGAGAGCATCGGGCCCTGGGCTCTGGGCAGTGCCGCGCCGCCGAGGCGGTGCGTCGGCGGTGCGGCGGCGCGGTGATCCTCGGAGGGCCACCACGCGGGGGCAACGGCGGCCCCCCCTGCCCAGCCCCAAAATCCTCTCAGGACGTGCTCCAGGATCGGGTCCCTCCCCCCAGCCCGTGAATTCGGAGGCGCACCTGGCCGTGGCTGTGAGGAGCTGCCAGCGAAAACGCCAGCCCTCCTCCTCCTCCTCCTGCTCCTCCTCCTCCTAATCCTCCTCCTCCTCATCATCATCAGCATCAGCAGCATCAGCATCAGCAACAGCCGCATCATGATGAAGATGATGATGATGATGATGATGATGATGATGATGATGATGATGATGATGATGATGATGATGATGATGATGATGATGATGATGATGATGGTAATGATGATATGATGAATGATGATGATAATCTTGAATGATGATGAATGCTGATGATGATGATGATGATGATGATGATGATGGTCGGCGACGTCATCTTCATCATCATCAGCAGCATCATCAACACAATCATCAGTACCATCATCATCATCATCATCAGCAGCAGCAGCAGCATCATCAGCATCATCATAATCATCATGATAATGGTCATCATCCTCATCCTCCTCCTACTCATCCTCATCAGCAGCACCCGCAGCATCATCATCGAAGCATCAGCAGCAGCATCATCAGCAGCATCAGCATCATCATAATCACCCTCGGCGTCGTCATAATCAGCATCAGCATCATCAGCATCAATATCATCATCAGCAGCAGGAGCATCATCCGCATCATCAGCATCAGCATCACCAGCATCATCATCATCATCAGCAGCAGCATCATTAGCAGCAGCCGACGAGCAGCATCATAATCATAGTAGCAGTAGCATCGTCAGCATCACCACCAGCAGC